TGGTTATGTCATGCTTGACTATGCATGGCTTCACCACACAGAGTTACGGCTACTGCTATAGTAGAGAGAAACCAGAAGATAAGGAGGAGAGCTGGCTGCTCTGCGGGGCTCTCTCTCTTGACTTCTTTACCAACTGTGCAAACTATAAAGGAGGAGATGACAGGCAGAAGCTAATCTTTATATCCGAACGAAAGAAAAAGACACAAAATACAAAAAAACTTGGTGAACTTTCTCTCTCCAAACCTGTATTTTGTCCTTGTATATTTCACTTTCTTTTCTTGTCAGGAAAATGAGGAAAACAGTTTTGATTAGCTAAAAACCACTGGATGGATGCAGGGAGCAAAAACAAGGGCAGCTTCATTGTAACTCATTAATTTATACATGACAGTGCAAACAAAGCAAATTAACCTTTTAAAGAAGATTAATTGAAGGTGAAGCAGAAAAGTTACTGCCTTATCTCCACTACCTAATCAGGCAGGGAAGAGGTCTGAGAAGGAAATTGTAAAGTCATGGAGTGAGATAATCCATTTCATGCAGCAGCACCAAGCAAAAAAAAAATCTATAAATTAAGCAAAAAGAAAACCTATTAAAATCTCCAACAGAAAATTCACTGTATACCATTCTCAGATGGGAAATGAGAAATTTCTAGTTCATCTGTATCTACAAAAAAAAAAACATGTTTGAAATGAAAACTTTTACCCCTAATTTCTAGTTCATCAATCAGAAACTGTTGAAAACTCAAGCTGGCTAAGCTCTCCATCTTCCTCCTCTGGTGCTGGGAGATTGAGATCTATCACCAAATTGTCTACAAAATTAGTAGAAGATGATGACACATTCCTAGCATTGTGAGTCAAATTGTTGTAATAGTGAACTTTCTTGTGCCCACCAAGTGCTTGACCAGAATCAAACTGTTTGAAACAAAATGAACACTCAAATGTTCTCTGCTGATCAACAACCAAATTACCACTATTGCCATTGTTACCAATGACATCATCATCATCATCATCTTCTTCTTCAAAATCATCATCATCATCATCTTCAACATCAAACACTTGGGTCTTGATTATTTTCTTGTGACTTGCTCTGTGGCCCCCAAGTGCCTGATAAGATCGAAACGCCTTGTTACAAGTCTCACACTTGTACTTCCCCTGAGTCAGGGCTCCGGTTTGAGCCCGAAAGGCCGACTCGTCCTCGTCCTTGTCCTCATCCTCATCCTCATCTACAGATTCATCTGCTTCTTTTTTTAGTTTAGCTTTTTCCCATTTTCCCCATTTATCCATTGAAAGCATTATGAGACACCTGGCAACATCTTCAGTTGAAAAAGCATCAGAAACAGAACTCACCTGCTCTGCCTCTAGGGCCGCCTCAGCCGCTTTCCCAATCACTTTACGGCGCCGTTTGGATCTTCTCCGAGTTGGGTTCCTCGGGTGTGACTCGGTGTCGCTATCGCCGTCATGGATGGCTGAATCCAGAGATGGAGAAGAATGCATGGCCCTGTTTGTTGATGAAAGTGGAGGAGATGACTCGGGCGAGTTGCTGAGTTGTTGTTGTTGTTGCTGCTGCTGCTGCTGCGGCGACTGCGGCTTTGCAGGGAGAGGAAGCTTGGCCAGATGAGATCTCATGTGACCACCCATGGCTTTGCCATTGGCGAATCTCTTGTTGCAGATCTTGCAGATTCTATGCTTTTCCATGGAGGAGGATGAAGAAGATCTCTATTTTTACTCTGTTTTCTCTTCTTCCTCTCTTGGTGTTTGGTTTTTGTGAAGAAGAGAAAGAGAGAGTACGAAACTTAATAGGTCACCAGAAATGAGTAGGTGACAAGCATTTCTATCGCAAAAAGAACAAAACCAGAAAGGTCAGAGTGGATATGGGAAATTTTAAGGTGTCCTTCGGAGGCTGTGGCCAAATGGTGCATGATATATAGCTTTATATTTTCATATGATGCCATTATGATCATATCTGACTAATAAAGTATCAAATTCAAATGTACTCTAAAATAAATAACAATAAAAATAAATTATTTTTAAAATCATACTAATTTGCCACAAAATCCCTTCTTCAAATTCTCTCCATTATTACCAGTTCAAATCAATCAATAAGTTAACCCTAAATATGAGTTTAGCTGACTGGTCACCACTCATAATTAAAATCAAAACAACATTCCCAAATAGGAGGATATACTTTATAGATTCATAACTCCACATCTTTTGTACTTAATACGTGGACATCTCTTAGTGCATCCAAGTTTTATGCATCAATCATAGCTCGCCTTGTGTATCCACGTCGACTATTAGGCGACACGTCGTTTATATCGATCTTTTTCTTTTCATATGGTATTGCATCATTTAGCACAATTTATTTATATTTTTTAACATTGACATCACAAAAAATTTATGAAAAAAACTAAGGATGTCAGAAGTCATTCAAAAACGCACCCCCAACAATGTATATACCGCCCACTAGTTCGTGTGGAAAATTATGAATTTATAATGTGACAATAATACATATTTTATGTGTATAATTCTACAAGTATTAAAATGCGCAGACAAAATTGTTGATTATAATATTGGAACCACTCTCGTAATAGAACAATCTTTAATTTATATGAATGGATAGATAACATTTCGAGAATTGAAGGTAACTTGGATTCTTTAACATAAAAAAGAAACGTTTTAAGTTGAATTGAATTGAGACTTGTATTGGGCTAGGCTGACTTGAGATGGGCCTATATTCGTTGGTATTTTTCTTTCATAAATAGAAAAGGTTCGAAATTCAATTCATCTTCTGCCAAAGATAATTAAAAAGCGGCCGACCGATTAAATTACAAGGTAGTTAATTGTTCTCCGTCAGTTTTACTTACTTTGTTGTTTGGCCGCATTGCTTAGTTAGTTACTATATTGAGCAACATGTTTTCTCATTTTGCCATTAAAATGTTACTTCTATAAATAAATGAAAGAAACAATACAATCCTACTCTAATTAGGCTCCTAAATAGCTAGATCCAACTCCATCTTTCCTCTGCCGATGTGCTACTTTACAATCTAAACCATTGACAATGCGCATTGTATGCACATATCGAGTTGTTATAGGTTGAATAAGTGACTATATAAAACTCCTATTCTTTTTATAATTCACGTATATTCAATTGTAAATGACTTTTAATAATCCATCAAGTGTCTTGAAAACAATTTATGTTAAATTATGAAAGGAAAAGCATACGAAGGAAAGTTGTTTTGGAGAAGAAAAAATACATAGATAAAAAGATAATTATACAAATGTTTATCCTTACTTTTTCTTAATTTAACTTGTAATTAAAAATATTCGTCAATTTTTTTTATTCGTTGGTTAAATTTATCGTCAAATTTTTGATACACACATATATTTTTTTGAATAAAAATGTAATATAAACTACAAAAGAGAGGGGTTTTTTGACAAACACTATCAAAGTGCCATAAAGATTTGAACATAAGACCATTAATATACAAATCAAAATTATTTTTTACCGAGCTAGAACCCAGTTGGCAATTTATCGTCAAATTTGACCTTACCATATAATATACTTTCCCATAATTTACCGTGCTATTGACTCTACTTCCAAAAATGCCCTTACTGCAATTAAAACCTTTATCGAGCAAACAAACGCCCCAGTCACACGCAGTAATTGCCTCTTCCCGCCAAACGCACTCCCTCACTCACTCCCTCTCTCTACAGTCCCATAATCGATTCTTCGTCCTTCCCTAAATTCACTGTCAGTCTCGTATATTTAGGGCTTTCTTTGTGTCCTTTGCAAGAAAACCCTAGTTCTCAGACCCAACCATGGAAGACCCCATCTCTGGCTTCCGTCAGCGTTCCGGGTCAGGCATCGTCAAGAGAGTCCGATTGGAGAACTTCATGTGCCACAGTAGCTTGCAGATTGAGCTCGGCGACTGGGTCAATTTCATTACCGGCCAAAATGGAAGTAAGCCCTCTTCTTTCTCCCGCTATGTAGATGTGTGTGCTTCAATTGGGTTTGTAAAATTTATGCATAATGAATCGAATTCCCTTTCGTATGTGGATTATTTGGTCCATAAGTAGTGTTTTGTAAATTCGGTTTTTGAAATTTGTGTGAATATCAGCTGATTTTGGTTTTTTTGGTTTTTGTAGGTGGTAAAAGTGCAATACTTACTGCTTTGTGTATTGCATTTGGTTGTCGAGCTAAAGGCACTCAAAGAGCGTCTACATTGAAGGATTTTATAAAAACTGGTTGCAGGTTAGTGGGGTTTGCCTTTTTCCAATTTTTTTAAATTTCCTTGCTACTGGTTTGCTTTGTGTTTGCGGTATGACAAAGCAACTCTTAGCTTCTCTGCTGGTTACCCTTGGATGTGAAATATTTGTTATAGTAGCGAACTGATTGCTTAACTAAACAAGTGCTAAATTTGCACCTTTCTCGCTGTGTTAAAGCTCTAAATGAGCGGTGTAAAATTCATCTGCTGCCAACTTTCTTCCAAAAATCACTCATGGAAATAGTAATATTTTGAGTGTTGTGCTCCACATTTTGAATTCTTCTATGTATTCTGTTCAAGGATGATGAAATTGTTGGTAGTTTGATGCCTTCAATTTCAAGTGGCTTAATGCATGTTAGGAACATCAGATAAGTGAACACCTTAAGTGGTGCCATTTGCCTTTGAGACACTTCAAAAATTTATCCAGTTTTGAAGTATCTGTCTTAAACTACACACACGCACACATATATTTTACTGTCTCATAGTGTTATCTGCTATTTTTCATTGCAGTTATGCTGTTGTCCACGTGGAGTTAAAAAATCAAGGGGAGGATGCTTTTAAGCCTGAAATATATGGTGATGTCATAGTTATAGAGCGCAGGATTTCTGGAACTGCAACCACCACTGTTTTGAAAGACCAACAAGGTTTAAACTTTACATTCTTTGCTTACATAGTTTTCTTTCTCTCGCTCTCGCTCTCTCTGTATCCAAACAAACGCCCCAGTCACACGCAGTAATTGCCTCTTCCCGCCAAACGCACTCCCTCACTCACTCCCTCTCTCTACAGTCCCATAATCGATTCTTCGTCCTTCCCTAAATTCACTGTCAGTCTCGTATATTTAGGGCTTTCTTTGTGTCCTTTGCAAGAAAACCCTAGTTCTCAGACCCAACCATGGAAGACCCCATCTCTGGCTTCCGTCAGCGTTCCGGGTCAGGCATCGTCAAGAGAGTCCGATTGGAGAACTTCATGTGCCACAGTAGCTTGCAGATTGAGCTCGGCGACTGGGTCAATTTCATTACCGGCCAAAATGGAAGTAAGCCCTCTTCTTTCTCCCGCTATGTAGATGTGTGTGCTTCAATTGGGTTTGTAAAATTTATGCATAATGAATCGAATTCCCTTTCGTATGTGGATTATTTGGTCCATAAGTAGTGTTTTGTAAATTCGGTTTTTGAAATTTGTGTGAATATCAGCTGATTTTGGTTTTTTTGGTTTTTGTAGGTGGTAAAAGTGCAATACTTACTGCTTTGTGTATTGCATTTGGTTGTCGAGCTAAAGGCACTCAAAGAGCGTCTACATTGAAGGATTTTATAAAAACTGGTTGCAGGTTAGTGGGGTTTGCCTTTTTCCAATTTTTTTAAATTTCCTTGCTACTGGTTTGCTTTGTGTTTGCGGTATGACAAAGCAACTCTTAGCTTCTCTGCTGGTTACCCTTGGATGTGAAATATTTGTTATAGTAGCGAACTGATTGCTTAACTAAACAAGTGCTAAATTTGCACCTTTCTCGCTGTGTTAAAGCTCTAAATGAGCGGTGTAAAATTCATCTGCTGCCAACTTTCTTCCAAAAATCACTCATGGAAATAGTAATATTTTGAGTGTTGTGCTCCACATTTTGAATTCTTCTATGTATTCTGTTCAAGGATGATGAAATTGTTGGTAGTTTGATGCCTTCAATTTCAAGTGGCTTAATGCATGTTAGGAACATCAGATAAGTGAACACCTTAAGTGGTGCCATTTGCCTTTGAGACACTTCAAAAATTTATCCAGTTTTGAAGTATCTGTCTTAAACTACACACACGCACACATATATTTTACTGTCTCATAGTGTTATCTGCTATTTTTCATTGCAGTTATGCTGTTGTCCACGTGGAGTTAAAAAATCAAGGGGAGGATGCTTTTAAGCCTGAAATATATGGTGATGTCATAGTTATAGAGCGCAGGATTTCTGGAACTGCAACCACCACTGTTTTGAAAGACCAACAAGGTTTAAACTTTACATTCTTTGCTTACATAGTTTTCTTTCTCTCGCTCTCGCTCTCTCTGTATCTCACCCTCCTCTCTCTCTCTCTCTCTCTCTCTCTCTCTCTCTCTCTCTGTATCCCTGCACATAATTTTCAAAACCTAACCACTTCATTAAACTGGTTTCCATTGTGTTCTTTGGTCCTGTCACGTGTTTTCGATTGAGAAACTCTTCATTGGACTCATATTAGCAATCATGTTCATAAATGGAAATCTCTGGTTGGACCTACTTATATTTTGGAAGATTTGGGATTTGGTTACTTAAACAAGGAGTGTATAGAATTTTACAGCATTAACTTTCAGATACTGGGTGGATAAATTTTTCAGAGTATTTGTTTGTTTGGATTTCTACCTGCACAAAAGTTTGGCTCAATGGCTTTCCATACTGACTTCAAATGGGATAATTTTTTTCATATTGTTTGTAACATTTTTTTTTTGGTGTCGATCAGCTAGAAATATTGTTGGTGTGGCATATTTGTTGGCCTTTTGGCAATTTGATTCTTTTGTGCTTTCATGTGAGGCATCTGGCACCACAAGCTTGTCTGTGTATTAAAAATTGTGAAGAAACATGATTGTTATTTTCTGTATCCATCTATCTTTTACTAAACATTTATAAATTTCTTTTAAAGAAAGTTCCTCTGACATAAGATAATGTTTCATGTAGACATAATGAATGGACTTACATCCCTTGTTAACCTGATTCTCCATTATTGTTCCCCCATCTTGCTTAAACCATAGAAGTAATGAGAGCCTTGTGGAAGCATTGTTTGTTTATTTTTCTTTTTCTGATGATATTATATGATATTGTTAAAAAACATAATATGTTGTGCTGTATTCTAGTGCCACAACATTGATTCATGAGGTTGTGGTTTTCATTTGACCTTGTTCTCCATCTGAGGTGTTTGGCAGGAAAAAAGGTTGCTAGTCGGAAAGAGGACCTTCGAGAACTAGTTGAACATTTTAATGTGAGTGTTCGTCATAGTACTTCTTGGTCACCTTTGCATCAGCTGTTTATTGATTGTTCATGTATATGGTTCTTATTAGGTATTGAAATCAGCATGTTCTCATTAAATTTAAGACACAGTCTGGTTCCTTTAAATTAGCATGATAGGCTGAGATTAACAAGGTTTGCTCTCTGTTATCGTTTTTTGTTTTGTTTCATGATGATGGAATGTCTAAATTGAATGATAAATCCATTATTCACACCATTTAGGAATTTTGTTTTAAAACAGAAAAATTACAGGTTTGCATTATTTGCATGTCAACCCTTCTCTTCTTGAAATTTTGTTACTTGCTTTCATGGCTTTGTGCTTTATGGCAGATTGATGTTGAGAATCCATGTGTAATAATGAGTCAAGACAAAAGCAGAGAGTTTTTGCATTCTGGCAATGACAAAGATAAATTTAAGGTGATGTTATGTGTTGCATGTTCTCTGAGCACAGAGTTCAATAGGTGTACTATACTGACATTTGATTGCTCAGTTCTTTTTCAAGGCCACACTTCTTCAGCAAGTTGAAGATCTGTTGCAAAACATTGAAAAACAGTTGGAGAAGGCAAATGTTGTTGTTGCTGAGTTAGAGGGCTCAATAAGACCCATAGAAAGGGAACTTAATGAGTTGCAAGAAAAAATTAAAAACATGGAGCACGTTGAAGAAATATCTCAACAAGCAAAGCAGTTAAAAAAGAAGCTCGCTTGGGCATGGGTATATGATGTAGACAAGCAGCTCGTGGAACAGAATGCAAGAATTGGAAAGCTGAAAGATCGCGTACCTCTATGTCAAGCTAAAATTGATCGACAAATAGTGAGTACAAACTGTTCGCATTGTCATAGATGTCTTTTTATATTTTCAACATGGACTGTTGTCTTTTAGGTTTAGAGGTATCACCTCATATTGTATTGTATTTATTCATCCCCATCTAATCTGTTGAAAGCAGTTATTCATGCAGAGTGCTTTAAGTTTAAGGCACAGCTAGAAATCTCTCTTTGGGGACAAGACATTTTTGTGTTTTTTCTTAAGAATGATTGTTGGATACTTTGCACAGGGATGAATAACTCTATCCAAATTCCCTACCACTATGAGTTGCCAAGTTCCAGAAAACATTTCTTGTTAAGAACGATTTTAATTCTGAAGAAATATTTTCTTCTGAACTATTATATTACCTATATGTGGCGTTTATTGTATTGCCAAATGTTTGACAAAATTGGTTAACTTATTTGTCAAACATTTGGCAATATAAATGGTGATTAAACTTATTTGTCAAACATCTGGCAAACATTTGTCAAACATTTAGCAAACATTTGGCAAACATTTGTCAAACATTTGGCAAACATTTGTCAAATATCCTATGCTTTATCTGGACATTTAATATAAATAGTTCACTCATGATTTAGTTGAAAGTCATTGATAGAAATTGGGCAAGCAATATTATGGGGAATCAAGTCCCCAGCTTTGAAAGGAATTGATTGAACACACAGAAGAAAATGTAGAAGGAAAACAGATGTCATTTATTTTGTTTTATCTGTTTTGCAGGGTCAAGTGGCGAAACTAAGAGAATGCTTTGCCTTGAAGAAATCTGAAATTGAACACATGATGAAAAAGACATCAGAGATTAGGAGAATGAAGGACGAATTGCAACAGACACTAGCATTGGTATGTTGAAAGTTTGTTCTTTTAAAAAAGCATCTGAGTGTAGGATACATTTTTTTATTTCCCCCTTTTTCCCTCTTTTTCTCTCTCTTAAAGGTGAAAATAATAATAATTTAATGACACTTGAAGCCTAGAACTGCTTTGTTTCAGAGAAAATATGTTCTCTGAGATTTCTTTTCACTAGCAAGTCATCTAAAAAAGACATACAACTGCATTTTGGTTTAAATGAAATTGCTGAAAAACTTTATGATGTTGCAATTGTTGCAAGTATGCGTTATCTCTCTGAATGTCTTTTTGTGTTTGAGTTATTAGCTGTGTAATTCCTGTTCCCTTTCTATTGCTTCTATCTGGTGCCCTTTTATTGTTCATGTAAATATTATGTCCTTTCTAGTTTCTACATTTTATGGATCCCAAATTCTTTTCTCAGGCTACAAAAGAGAAACTTAAGCTAGAAGAAGAATATGGCCGCAAATTTAACCAAATCCAGAAGATGATGAACTATGTTAGGTCTCTTCAGCAACAGGTTCAAGATACCCAGGAGCAGCATGCCAAAAATACACAGGTTTTTCTGTTTGGTGTTTATTTTCCTTTTGATTTTTTCTGTTTGCGGGTGTGTGCCGCTTATTCATGGGGATTAACTGTTCAAGAGCAACTAACTGTATGGGAGTTTTTCCTCTCTTCATTCTGTTTTTCCTTGGCATAACTTACTATGTTATACCATTTTTTCTTGAAAATATGCCTCTATTGATGTGAATATTAGATGATTTTGCATGAAAATCTCTAGAATAGTGATTTGGTATGGTTTGAAACGATTTAGCTCAATTAGTAACCCTTGAAAAAATCAGGGTTTGTTAAATAGAAAACCTTGACACAAGATTAGTAATGAAAAATAGCAATGCAATAGAAAATCTAACACACAAATGCATTTGCCAATGGTTGAACCCCAAGACTCACCTTCTTAGCGACTCAAATTTTTTAAAGTATCCAGAAATTCATTTCCGTACCCAATTTGTAATGACTTTTTTTTTTAACGGTAATTATTCCCTATTCAAAATTATGACAAAATCCTTTAATTTCTGCATGACACTGTTGTAACCAGTTTGATATGCCAAGATAGAATGACATGCGGTGTTCATATACAAAAAACATAGCAGGCATGTGAATACATAGGTGACTGTTTCCAAGCATCTTTAAATTATCAGTTTTTAGACCACTGATTTTGACACTGTTGCAGGCAGAAGAATCTGAAATAGAGGAAAAACTTAAAGAACTCCAAAATGAGGTTGCTAGCATTGAATCAATGCTTGCAAGGTTTAAAGTCATTAATTTCATAAGTTTATATTTTGCATTGCTGTCAAGGGAGATTTAACCTAATCCCCGTTGATCTTCTGATATGATATTTCAGGTTGAAGGAAGAAGAGAATGCCTTATCAGAATGCGTGCAACAGACAAATGGTGAAATCAAAGAGATAAATGAAATGGTGTGAAATGTTTGATTTGATTTAATGACTTGAAATTGTTTATCGCAACTTTTTCTCATCCTTTTATTTTGTTGATTAATAAGTTAAAATTGTGTTGTGCAACTTGTTGTCATCCTTTTTCTTGGGTCTCTCTCTTAGTTGCTCTGTTTTTTCCTCATTTATTTTGTCGGTTTTCTTCTCTGGAATCAATTTTTCACAATTTTACGTGGACAATGGTATTGGATATGGCGACTGGCCAAAATATATGATTGTGTCTTAGCTATTTGCTGTTTGTTGCATATATACTATTCTGAAACTATTTTGAAAAACCCAAGGTGTCTTGCCATACATTCTTTTCAACCCTGAATCTCCTGGTTTTTTGTTTTTTTATTTTTTTGTTGTAAGTTAACTGCATTTAAGCACAAGCTCTACTTCTGTAAAAGCCTAAGTTATTTTAGATCCTTTGTCCCAACTCATCTATTTCGATAAGGGATATGTTAAGTGCTTGTAGGAATTTAGAAGAACCATAAATAATAATTTGGAAGGTATCTTAGGAATATGTTCCTTAACAGATTCCAAATAACTTTGGTTTTCTTTTTAATAGTAAAGATGGCTACTTCTAGAAAGAGTCAAATAAGAGAATAACATTGGTAAATTTTGGTTTTAAATTGACGAGTTTTGGCGTGCATATTCACATAATGGGGATAAATGTCCTACTATTGTAGCCAAGTCCTATTTTAGATGGGAATGACGTTAAGCAAAACATATTGAGCTGTCATGATTCAGAAGTAGGAAGACACAACTGCTGATGCAGAGTGTACTCTCAGGAGTTTTATATGTTGCTTCATAAAAGGGACAGGGTTCTCTGTTTTGTCATGGTAGGTATATGTTTAAGTGGTTGAGAGAAAATTGGGATAATAGAAAGGGTTTAAAGAACCTGAAAGAAAAGAAAAAGCGAAGCTAAGTATAAGGCAGAAAAAAAAAAAAAACAGTGCTTGGTAAGACCTTCATGTCTAGCCTTTTAATTTATAACCTAACTGTGTTGTCAATATAAGTTGCCTCCATTTATATATATATATATATATATATATATATTATAATATTAACTATGTTATCGATATTACATAATTTGTTTGTCAGACTTAAATAGCTATGTTTGTTGAATGTATTTGTAATCACATGTTGGTCTTCTAGATTCAAAATTATGACAAGAAGCACCGGGAGATCTCAAATACCATCCGGGAGCTTCAGCGAAATCAAACCAACAAGGTCTGGCACTAATGATCTTGTGGTCTTAGATTCTTGAGAAAACGGCGGACTCTGTACTGTGTCACTTATGCATATGTAGCCCATGTGTGTTATATCTCAGGCTGCCATTTTACCAAAAACACTATAGTGCTTAAGGAAAATGTCTTGTTTAAACAGGTTACAGCTTTTGGTGGAGATAGAGTGATAAGCCTTCTACGCACAATTGAGAGATATCATCAGAGATTCCAAAGCCCTCCAATTGGTCCAATTGGTGCTCATTTGGTAAGTGTGGAACATCTGCATTATATCTACAAGTTTAGTAAACTTCTACTGTGTAATGTTGTCTTTGCACTTTTATATTTTACTGTTACCAAAGTAAATGGTTTTGAATGACCGGTGTTTATTACACGGTAAAGGAGAACAAACATGTCAGTGGGCTTCCATAAGTTCTGATGGCATGTTCTGTTCCTTAGCAGGCATATCGCTTCATGTTTTTCCCCTGTTTTACAATATCTATAAATTACATGATAATAATAAATAATTTTACTTTTTACTTGTTTCTAATTTACGCTTCTATCACTTATTGTTCTTTCTAGCAAGCTTCTATTTTTGTGGATAGGAGTCAATTTCATTGCTACTTGCAACTACATGCTAAGTGATCAATCTTAATACAATGATTGTTTCTGCAGACTTTGAATAATGGCGATGTCTGGGCTCTTGCTGTTGAACATGCCATTGGAAGGTTGCTCAATGCTTTCATTGTGACAAATCATAAAGACTCGCTTCTTCTGAGAACATGTGCAAGGGAAGCAAACTACAGTGACCTTCAGATTATTATATATGACTTTTCATTACCAAGGTAGATCTTTAGTTCTTCAGATTGCTGTCTCATTCAGTGCATGGTGATTCTTTCTGTGACTGAACAATCCATCGTACTTTCTGATGTAGGTTAAATATACCGCCTCACATGCTTCCACAAACAAGGCACCCAACTACTCTTTCTCTTCTTCATTCTGAAATTCATACTGTTTTAAACGTGTTGGTAGATATGGTAAGTTTACGGGCTTCTTCTGTTCGTGTCCGTGATTAATTGTTACCTCTATTAGTTATTGATCTTGCCTGACTTCACATTTATTTATTTTTGTGTGCTCAACTATGGTTAATTTTCCAGGGAAATGTTGAAAGGCAAGTTCTCGTGAGAGATTATGATGCGGGAAAAGCAATTGTATTTGACCAGAGGGTTTCAAATTTGAAGGAGGTTTACACCTTAGATGGCAGTAGGATGTAAGCTAGAGATCCATGCCTTGTTCCTTTATGCATTTAATTTTCACAAAGTTTGCTTTGCTTTAAATACCATAAATCTACGTACTGCAGTTTTGTCCAATCTTCTAATTTGATTTTCTATTACTTGTGAAATATAATTTTGACTGAGTGCTAGGATTTTATACTGTTGAACATGAGTTTGGACCCTGAGTATTGTCATTTATCATATTCATTTGGTTCAGACACATTTTGTGTTGCACAAATAAGTATTTATTTATTGCTTCTTTCTAGGTTTTCTCGTGGTTCTGTCCAGACAGTTCTTCCTCCCAATAAGCGAGTTAGAACTGGTCGTCTCTGTAGTTCTTATGATGATCAAATTAATGAGCTTAAAAGACAAGTATTAAGTGTACAAGAAGAAGCTCAGCAGTGCAGAAGGAGGAAAAGGGATGTAGAGGAAAAACTTCAGGATCTTCAAGAGAATCTCCGAAATGTGAAGGTAATGGATAGCTTACTTTTTCTTCTTTATTATGAGCCTATGCTTCTTAAAAGAAAATTTAATATAGTTGTCCAATTATAATTAAGTTTGACCTGGTTGTACTGTAAAGATTTTTCTTTTGCAATATTGTTTGTATGGTTGGTTTCCTGCCAAATGTCACTTGCATACTTTTTCGTGGGCTATTTAAATAACTAATGCTGTATGTTAATCAACTGTTACTTCTTTTATTTTGTGTAGAGGAGATGTGCAAATGTGGACCGTGATTTGACATCTAAGAGACTAGCAATTCAAGATTTTGACAATGCATATGCTGCTGAAGCTGGTACATCACCTGCATCAACTGTTGATGAGCTGTATCAAGAAATTTCGGTCTGTTCCATTAAACTTTATGTTACCATTGACTCTATTATGTATATTTTCGAAGAAAACACTATCCTATTTTGAGTGATTATCAGAAAGTCCAAGTGGAGATTCAAGAAAGGAAAATGTCACTGGAAATGTTTCAAGTCAGAATTGGTGAAGCTGGGGCAAAGACCAATGATCTTAAAGCATCATTTGAGAATCTATCTGGTATGGTAACGCTGTTCAACTTTCATATTAGGTTCCACAGCACATTCTTCCCATCTTTCTTGATCTTTGCGTCCAATAAACCAACAGAGTCAGCAAAAGGTGACATTGATGCCTTTGAGGAAGCGGAGAGAGAAATGATGGAGATTGAACAAAATCTATGTTCTGCAGAAGAGGTCCCTTCCGTTCCCGAAACTTACACGCACATGTTTTTAGTGCTTTTCTATGGCCGTAACTCTATTTGTTCTCTGTCTTTGATATCTAATAACTGCCTGTTTATCTCAGGAGAAAGCTCATTATGAAGGTGTAATGAAGAACAGGGTACTTAAGGATATCCATGATGCAGAAAAACACCATCAGGAGCTTGAGCATCTCCGCGAGGTATCATTTTTAGTCTATGGTTGCATTCTGCATTAAATCCTTGGAGGCAACAGCTTCATGAAGTTCTGCTTGTTGCTTGTTGCTCTTGCATTTCCCTATACAACTGTAAATTTCCAGGCACCTTATTGTGCAGGATAATATACTTAAATCAGAACCCTGGTTTTGCTGCCCTTTCTTTTATGGTTTTATGGTGGTTTTTACACAAGTACAAACTTGTGCCTGAATTGTTATTGATTATTTTGGAATTTTATATATGAAGGATCTCGCTTTAGTATCTACTAGTTGCTGAAGTTATGCATTGGCTGAAATTGCAGGAGAGTTCTAGAAAGGCTTCTATCCTTTGTCCAGAGAGTGAAATTATAGCATTAGGTGATTGGGATGGTAGCACTCCTGAACAACTCAGTGCTCAAGTAACCAGGCTGAATCAGAGGTTTGAGCGAGAGAGTCAGAGGTATTCTCATGATCGTCTGTCTTCACTGCATTTTTGGGACAATAGCCAAGCTTCAGCATAAAGAAGATTTAAACTTTTTTTTTTTTTCCCGGTTGCAGATATACCGAATCAATTGATGAGCTCCGAATGTCATATGAGAAAAAGGAACGTAAGATTTTAAGCAAACAAAAAAGAAACAGAGCTTTTCGAGAAAAGTTAAATGTAAGTTCCAGCCCATATAATGCTTTTTTGGTGCTATAACTGTAATTTTTGGACAGTCATAGACCACACTTGTTATGAGCTTCTCCTTAATCTGGTTATGCAATCAACTTATTTCTTATTGGAACAATTTGTTGCTTCATAGCAAAAGATAGTTGAACGGAGAAATTTAGGGTGTGCATCTAGTTTCCCTTTGTGCCCCTTTTTTCTACGGAAATTGTATCTGCTATATAAATTTATAATTAGAGATTCAATTCCTTCGCTTGAATCTGGTATTTAATTTAGCACTTTTAATATGTGAAGTTTGTGGAAGTAGACTGTTGAAAAAAATACTTCCTGGTTCATGTTTTGCTTAAAGGAGCCTTTTTGCTTAGGCATTGCTCAAGAAAGGTTACTTCATAGCTGTGATTTCAGAAATAGTCTGTGGGTAGTGTATATATTTCTGGGCTGTACAAGGCTCTTTCCTTGTATTAGATATGTCTACTGATACCCTACCTCCAATGTTTTTTATTTTCCAAGACCCAACCTCCAATGTTAACTCTGTACCTTTTGATTGAGCCCTTCCTGCCAAATGGATAATCTTGCTGCTCAGAGTTTCTCATGTATGTGTTTGTTTTCTCAATTATTAAATTGCAGTCATGCCGCAAAGCCCTTGATTTGCGACGGAGCAAGTTTCAAAGAAATGCAGATTATTTAAAGCGCCAGCTGACCTGGCAGTATGTCGTCTCTTCACAATAACTAGAGTCACATTCATCATAGTGTTTGCTTTTCTCCATATTTATTTTTTCAATACAAGGTACCTTTTTATTTTTGATCTGTTCTAAATTGATTATTAATTGCCATTAGATTCAATACCCATCTGAGAAAGAAAGGGATTAGCGGACAGATTAAAGTGAGTGACGAGGAGAAGACCCTATCTGTTGAGGTAAGCAAGTTCTTTGTTTTTTTTTTATACTCATTTTATTCTTCCTTTAGTAGTTTAGAATATAGATGAGCTATGTATATCTTGCTTGTGGATGGCTGGACAGGTTAGTGTTTCTTTTGTAAGTCCCCTTTTCTCTTTCCAAGACTTGATGCTGTGTGCCCCTTTTTTAGGTAAAGATGCCCCAGGATGCAACAAGCAGCACTGTTCGTGACACTAGAGGGCTTTCAGGTTTACTTCTTGAATATTCTGATGAAATGTTTCTTTATTTGTGCTTTTGCAAAATTAATTCATCATAGATCAATGATTTCATTGTTTGGAGTTGGTTAATTTGACTGGTTGGGCTTTCGCTCAAGAGTAATACGGGACTTTTCATATTTTCATAATCAGGATTTAGAATATGGCATAAATAAGCATTTATGTACAATTTAATTGTTAATCAGGTGGGGAACGCTCTTTTTCAACATTGTGCTTTGCATTGGCTCTTCATGACATGACCGAAGCTCCATTTAGAGCAATGGATGAGTTCGATGTTTTTATGGTACAGATTTAAGCAAGTTCTTTGTTCCAGGACTGAAGATTGTGTTCGTACATGTCTAGGTTGTTTTGTTTAAGACACAAAAAATGGTTCTTATGAACAAATTTTATGCATTTAACTTATTCTTCAGGATGCTGTAAGTCGGAAAATCAGCTTAGACACTCTTGTTGATTTCGCATTGGCACAAGGATCCCAATGGATACTTATCACTCCTCATGATATCAGGTAATGTTGTAAGAAAGAATGTGGATGCGTTCTGTCCTCAGCTTTCTTTGAATGTCTGGTTTTTGCATGAAACCTTATTTCTTTTTCTTCCGCGGAAAGCAAACATAATAGAAAACAATGCACTTGAGAAATGACATGGTAAATTGAATTTGGTTCTTTGGATGCAGTATGGTGAAGAACGGGGATAGGATAAAGAAGCAGCAGATGGCGGCTCCTCGTTCTTGATTTGCCATGTATGATTGTGTCCTGTAGTCATGCCAATACCTGGTACTGCTTGAAGTTGAACAGATGATGATGTATTTATTTACTCATATGTAAATTACCATTGTAAGGCAAACCCTAGGGTCTAGAGACCTTCCCCATGGTTTCTTTTCGGAATTAATATGAACCTTTTTTGCTTTGAATTGTATCCCTTAAATCATATTATCTTACATATCCGGACGATTCTTATAAAGTAATGCTTGTATGAATGGCGACCGTTATTCATATTATATATATTATTATGTACGAAATTAGCCCAATGAATTTAGACTTTTTTTTTTATTTCTCCCTTCTACTTTACTCTTTCCTGTGTCGTAGATTTCTAATTCCCAGTTTTTTTAGATCCCAAATAACATATTAAATTAAAAGAAGGGAGATTCACTATTATACCTAATATAGTGGCCAAAATTATATAAAAAAAAACCTCTATGAAATGGACTTTAGAAATCCACTCAAGGTCTATTTACAACATAACAAAAAGGCTTTTAACTTCTTATAAATTACAAAATTGCCATCGATTTCTTAAAACAAACTTAACCCGAAAACCTTAATAAAAAAACTCAAAACACTCAATAGGGCATCAAAGTAATTTAATAATTAAAATTAAATTCAATAGGACAAGCTGTCATTTTTTGGGAATAGGACAAGCTGTCATTTTTTGGGTTTGTTTATAGAAATTAAATGGTGTAGGATTTATCTATATTATTAGTATTAAAAATGAGTATATGACTAAATATCTCTTAAAAGAATGTGTGTTGCATGAGTATGACATATCAAATTCATGTAAATGGAATGCCACTTGACCAAAAACACTCAAGGAATGCCAGAGGACAAATAAATCCATTTTCTATTGCTAAACCTTTACAATTAAATTTCATAGTTATATCAGAAAGTACAAAAGTGGAAAAACAAAATCCTTTTATCAGAAAATGATAAAGTAGTTACCAAAAAACACGAAAAAGGAAAATATAATCCAATCCACGTCTTTTATGCGCTGAATTATAAAACGATGGTCTATCATCTTTTTTTTTTGGTCTGATCTATCATCTTTGTTTCCTTGGCCATGGTTGGGTTTCTGTCCCCACATTCGAAAACGAAATTTGAATTATAAACGGCTATCTAACGGTCATATTGATGGGACAGCCAAATGGGGTAAAATCCTTTTTGTAAACCTTTGGACCGGGGAAATTCTTTTACATAAACAAGTTTTACGGTGTCAAGCCCACAGAGAACTTGGGTTATAACCAAATGAATATTTTATTCAAAGGACTTGTAAGTCAGATGACTTGACTGTATATAAATAGGTGCTTCTGGAGATTTTAAAAAAAGAAGTTTAAATTTTTACAAATGACTTTTTCAAAGACTCGATAAAAGTCCTAGATTCAAAATCTTGGAAGTAAAAACAAAAAGCGCCACACACTCAGAACCTCCTCAAATCTCCTTCACCCGGAAAAGTGTATAGATGGAAACACAGACAAGTTTTAGAGAGAGAAAATCTAGCGGTTGTTAGTGACAAAATCTAGAGAGAGAGAGAGAAATGTGATCTAGAGAGAGAGAGAGAGAGAGAGAGAGAGAGAGAGAGCTGAACAGAGAAGACAAGATGGGATACAGAGAAGTTGCAGAGAAAGACCATCACGCTCGAACGATGTCGTTGGGGGCAGAGAAACCAAACACAAAGACCAGCCCTTTACCACCATCGAAGAAGAGGACGTCGAGCTGGTCAGACATCTGGCTTAAGAACACTACGCCCCTCAAGAACGTCATCTTCGCTATGCAACTTGCTTCGCCCAAAGACTCCAAATTCAAACCCACCCACAAAACCCTAATCCCCAATTGGGCAAACATTGACCGTACCTCCCTATTATCCGACGAAATCCTCCTCAAAATCCTCGCCAAGCTGCCCGAGTCGCAGGGCAAGCCTAACTCGCTCGTCTGCAAGCGCTGGCTCAACCTCCAAGGCCGCCTTGTACGGTCGCTCAAGGTCTTGGACTGGAGCTTTCTCCAATCGGGTCGGTTGATCTCGAGGTTCCCCAACCTGAATCAGGTTGATATGCTATATGGGTCGTTTATTTCGGACCAAAATTCGGGCATTTTGTTGAGTTATAGAATGTTTTCGTTCCATACCGGTTCCGAGTTCTCGCCGAAGCAGAGAGTTTCCGAGTCAAATTTCAAATTGCTTCCACCTGTGGTTGTTGACAGAGGGCTTGATGCGTTGGCGAGTGGGTGCCCCAACTTGCGGAAGCTTGTGGTGATTGGTGCGAGTGAAATGGGGTTGCTGAGTGTAGCAGAGGAGTGCCCTACACTCCAAGAATTGGAATTGCACAAGTGCAGTGACAATGTGCTGCGTGGGATTGCGGCATGTGAGAATTTGCAAGTGTTGAAATTGGTTGCATATGTAGAGGGACTTTATAGTTCAGTGGTTTCGGATATTGGGCTTACGATTTTAGCTCAAGGGTGCACGAGATTGGTAAAGCTTGAGCTTTGTGGATGTGAGGGAAGCTTTGATGGGATTAAGGCAATTGGGCAGTGTTGCCAAATGTTGGAGGAATTGACTTTCTGTGATCATAGGATGGATGGTGGGTGGTTGGCTGCACTTTCATATTGTGAAAATTTGAAGACTTTGAGGTTTCAGTCGTGTAAGAGGATTGAAACTATTCCGGGGCCCGAAGAGTATATGGGTGCTTGCCCTGCTCTGGAGCGGTTGCATTTGCAGAAGTGTCAATTGAGGGATAAGAAGAGTGTGAGAGCTTTGTTTATGGTGTGTGGAGCGGCCAGGGAGATTGTTTTTCAGGACTGTTGGGGATTGGACAATGATATGTTCAGGCTAGCAAGTACTTGCAGGTAGTTGATTCTTTTTGCTATATTATGTCTTTAGTTGCCTGAGATTGATATTGGCATGTTAAGATTCTGAAGAAGATAATAATAGGGATGAAATTTTGGTATAAAACTAATGTATTTAAATGTATAGAATTCACCCTGTACTAAGATTAGTTATCTGGTCTCAATTTACAAAAGTTATGAACTTTATGAGTAGATCTGCAGAAATATAAGCTAAAACCTTTTCTGCGATCGTTGTTGTAAGACTGGACAGTTGTAATATGATTATAGTTAACTGTTAGAGTTGCTGAGGTCCTAAAGCAAATTTGAAGGGGTGAAAACACTTCTGTTTTTAGATTTTTGGTCATTGAATTATCATTTGGAATATCCTTTCTTTGCTATTTTAATGGGATATAATGTTCTAACAGGAGGGTGAAGTTCCTATCTCTAGAAGGATGCTCAGTGTTAACAACAGAGGGTCTGGAGTCAGTAATTCTTCCCTGGAAGGAGCTTGAATGCCTTAGAGTAGTGTCGTGCAAGAATATAAAGGACAAGGAAATATCTCCTGCCCTCTCAACCTTATTTTCTACTCTCAAAGAGTTGCAATGGAGACCAGATACCAAATCTCTTCTTCCATCAAGCGTTTTCGGAACCAGCATAGGAAAGAAAGGCAGCAGATTCTTTCGGAAGACTCGAGATTTGAAGATGCTATTTGATGATCAGAATCTGCTCCTTGATTTTATACACAGATGATTCAGATTGAAGCTGCTTTACTCCTGCTGTGAAGACTGTATCAGTATACTATAGTTACTGTACTCATGCTGTTGTCCCTTTTGGATGCTTAACACAGAAGTTGACAGAGGAAGAAGGTTGTTGTTAGTTTTATTCTTCCACAGTCAGGCAACAGCCAAGGATGTATAATTATAAGGGTAATATTTGCCCGACCCACTTCTCCCTTAGTGCATGTTGGGCAACCTTTTTCGCCGTAATATCTTAATTTTATGCTACAGATGGTTTAATTCGGCATTCTTGTTTGGTCTGTACTTCTGTTTCTACTACGCTTCTAATATCTTCAGCAAAACAAACATATAATAATCAGATTATTGAACAAACTCAAACTGCTATAGAGGAAAGAAATGTTAGTGCTTGGGATAATAAATGGATAATCAAATCTCAGTTAAACTAATCTAAAGCAAATACTAATGTTTTCAAAACTAGACACTACTAATTTCTCAATTCATTCACATGACGTGATACTTATGATATTAGAAAACTGGTGAAAGTCCATCAAATAAGAGATAATTCAGCGGATTATATTTTTAATTAAAAATTTATAACTTTATTTATGTTTTAATTGCACGCAAATCAAAACTGGAAATTTCCCGTAATCACCCACACAAAAAAAGGAGGGGGGGGGGATTTCTTTGGATGGGTGTGCTGATCAATTGTTGGGTGTATTTATTTAGAAACTAAAAAAACCTCCACCTACTAGGCTACTACATCGACCAGGATGACGTGGCAAAAACCTAGAGGGGAGGGAAAAAGAAGAAAAAGAGCAGGAAATAAACGAGATGATGTTGACAGCGCTGACGCGTGAAAATTTGTCTGATTGATTCTCCCCTGAGATCATCACTCAACTCTAAAACTAAAACTCCAACTTCGAACTAATGGGTTTACAGACAGATAAAGAGACGATGAAGAAAGGCAAGGAAGTTGTGGTTTCAAGCCCTAACACCAACGACTATGACGACAAACTTAATATCAGCGAAGAAGACTTAGACGACGTCAATAATCATAACAGAGGAAGTGGCGTCTCTTTTACTTCCGTTAGATTCTCTTCTCGCAACACTTCCTCCAAATACGACTTTGTCAAGGTTCTTCATTTTATTGTTACCCAAAGAACAAAGGTTCTTAATTTCCTACTCTATTTCTGTTTGGTTTCGGAGAAATAAATCAGAATCGAATGTCTTTTTGTGCTGAAAAACAAACAGGTGAAGGTGTGGTTGGGCGATAATGCAGATCACTACTACGTGCTTTCCAGATTTTTGCTCAGCCGAATGTTAACGGTCACTAAGGTCTCAATTCCATTCAACCCAATTCAGTATTTTGATTCTTGTTATTAGTTTCCAATATCTGTGTATGTAAGTGTGTGTGTGTGGGTGTGTGTGTGTGTGTGTTTGCCTCAATTCAACTATTTGTTTCTTTTGGTAATTTCTAATCATCAGTTGTATTGTTAATTTATTATGAATTTATGGTGGTGATTGCAGATCCCAAATTATGTAGCTATTAAAATTGCTTTGGAGCTCAAGAAGCTGCTAATAGACAACAGCCTTCTAGATGTGTATGCTGTGTCCTCACTCATTTATTCTTCTTTTATTTTGCTTTTTCTTGTTTTCTGATAGGATTCTTATAAATGGTTTCACTTTGTGTTT